CGAGGCATACGCACAGTATGCACATATGCCAATAACAGACTGATCAATTGAAGCAATAAACGTCAATGGGGAGATACAAGCAAAACAATACTAAGTGAATTTAAGTTCACCCCATTACACAAGCAAGTGGCTATCAGGACTCAGTAGCTGAGTGGGTAACGCGATGGCGTTTGAAGCGAATAGTACTGGGTTCGAGTCTTAGTGAACATCAATTCTGGGACGCAGGTGCACCCGGCTGACGAGACCCAAATAGGACGAAACGCGCGTTCTGGATTCCACTGCCAGCCACTATCCAACATTGCTTACAAAAAGTTAATCTGTTTTGTTTTGAGTATTATTTTTTAGATATCGAAAGCCGGAGTTAACCTTTTTGGCTAAGAATAAGTGTTGCTGCCTCATGAGACTCTAAGTGTCTGCATGTCTCTCCCTTACTGTCATCTATGACGTTATCGGGCGCAATGAAAAGAAACGGTATCCAGTTGGCTATTTTCTTCGGTATTATGGATGGCACTACTCCATCAACGAGTCAAGCTAACTCTGGGTGCCCAGTGGTTGTGAATACCAGTAATATTTTCGAAAGTATTATGAGACCCAATTGTCAAAAAGGTTTTTATTGTTTGTCCATAGCCAGCTACATCCAGTTAGGACTCAGAACACTCCTCTTCTAGAACTGTATACTGCTATTCTGCAGTAGTTATCCAGCTACCGATGTTACCGATAAGGTAATTGTTTAATGTCAGTGATCTTGAAATGTAGTCAGAGCTAGACATAGAGTCTACAAATAAACACCTAACATACTTATCGCCATCTTATAATACATGACAGCAACAGCAACACGAATACATAGGCTGCAATTAAACGCAACTCAATTTCGTAAATGTGCCTTTCAGCTTAGCAACCAATCAGAATGTGGCGGGAATTATTATATCAGCCATCTTTGTACGTAATGGCGGCCGGTTTTCTTCGTTCTGTGCTTCTTTTAGCTATTTCTTTTGTGTAGCTGTGTAATTAATGTTTCAATGTGCTAAGATGCCGCAGTTAGTGTAGGGTTCTACATGTTGGTGTGAAATTTACTTCGAATCAGCATTTTTTTTGGGTTTTTGCTGCTTCTACCCTAGTCAATATATTTCTTCAGTCAAGCTGGTTAGTCTTATGTTTTAAAATGGAAATCGGTTTAGTTTTGACTTGTTCTCAAGATATCAAAAGCCGAAGTTCGTTTTTTCTTAGCTGAAATAACTGTTGCTTCGTCCTGTGACTGACTGTCCGCATGTTCATTCCTAACTGTCCTCTATGATGTTATCGGTAAAATGAAAGGAAACAATTTCCGGTTTTTAATTTTCTTCAGTATTGCGGACAACAATATCCCACCAATGAGTCAAACTAATACTTAGTGCCTAGCCGTAGGGGATGTCAATATTGTTTTCGAAAGTACTCAGGCTTCCGACAACCATAGACAAATTCACAGATGCTACCAATCTATTGCAGAGGGTTTGTTATGAAAAAATATGCCACATAGCAGTAATGGAGGGGTTGTACGCATTACGTAGTGCGTTAAAGCAAGCTTAACATTGAAAAGCCGGAAATCTGCTATCAGTGTGTAGTGTATGTTTGCTGTTTCGGCCACAAAAGGAAGCCGAAGGGTCATGATCAGGGAGTAAAAAGGTAACTAACTGTTATTAAGCTCAGCTTTTTATAGACCATAATTCACCACTCGCAAATTTGTTATTTTTACGGTATGATGTCAACCGTTATCTAATATGTTCACCTTTACGATGAAAAGTACTTGCAAATTCTCAACTTCATATTCGAATTAATTTGTGACAACTGTCTTCCAGTTTGAGTGCTTCGTACGCCCTGGGAGACTAGATTCCTACGTTATTCACAGTTCCAGTATAACTTTCTCACACAGTAAGTTCAAAGTAAACACTAGTCTTTCTAAATAAGCATGTTAAGCTAATATCCGTATTCTCTATTTCAGATGATCGATGAAGACATGTACCACGTGAATCTGTTGTATATTGTTATTTTACTCCAATTCTTACTGTTATATCTTCTGAAAAATAAAATTGCTATATGCAGCAAATACAGACTTATTGTTTTGATGGTGGTAGGGGGGTTCATGGGTTTTTTATCAGGACTGTAGTAATATTCCCACTAAAGAGCTAAGTGAGTGCGTAGACCAATGTAAAGTACCATGCAGGGTGCCTTTGAATTACTCGTGTTCCATTAGTGTCGGTAGAAGCATTACTTGCTTATCATATGACATTTGAATAAGGAGCTATGAGATTAGATGCAGGGACGGTTAGGATGTGTAACGCATGTCCATCCATCAGTTTTCGTGGCAACTCACGGTGGCTAGAATAAGTTGTGAGAGGACCCGAGCCTGTAGGTTTCCTAAGAAAGTGACGGAGATATGCACCAAATCACCTTATGAAGAGCGCCTCCAATCACTTAACCTCTACTCATTAAAGTATAGACGTCTTAGAGGTGACCTATTTACTTACAGGATCCTTAACACTTCTGGACATTCTCTTAAACACCTATTTGAGCTTAGTCCCAGAAACTAGAGACACGACATAGCAGAATGAACTGTAGACGCAACTTCTACTCCTTAAGAGTTGTCGAATGCTGGAATTCGCTGCCCGCCGAACTAGTCCAAGCGACTTCCCAGGAGTCATTTAGGAGGCGACTGGATCTTTTAGTGTTAACATACCTAGGTTCCTGCTTGGAGGTTTCGGTGATCCCCTGCTACTAGACACGGAAGCCTGAACACATGAATTAGGTGATGAGAGACTCGATTATCACAAGTTTCTTGCAACGATTAAGTAGATAAAACAAAGTAGCATTAGGTTCAAAAATTTATTCGAGAACTTTCATTAAGAATCGAATATGAAACAAAGGTTTAAACCAAGTTCCAGTCTAAAAGTTGCATTTGTAATGTTAAGCTGCAGTTTTTGTTGTTTTTTCCAAACGAAAGGGTAAAAGAAGTAACTCAAAAAGTACTGGAAGTGGTTGTGAGATTAAAATGGACATCCAGCATCCTTTTTATAATCTGCTGTTAGTTGGGTCTCCAGTAAACAGATCCATAGGGCCATAGTTCTAAGGGCGAAACAGTTCTTAGGATCAGTGAAGACTCAGTCCTGTTGCATTCTAAATGAGAAAACAGTAATGAATTTAGTCAGAAATGTGGAATAGATAAATAACCAAATTACATGTATTTTAGCAAAGAATTTATGCAGTTCTGATTTACCTTTAGTTCATGAATATTAGGTCAGGTCAGCTATTTATTGTGCAAAGCATAACATGGACTTAATACCGTATCTCAATGCTTTTATTATTTTGCTCTCATTTAAGTATTACCATGTATCTGCATCTAGTTTAACAGGGAGACATACAAGCAGAGTTAGTGTTTGATGAACTAAAAGTCCTAGTTGTCAAAAAGATTCTTAACATTTGTCCACAGCCAGATGCATTTAATTGAAATACAGAACACTCATCTTCTAAGACTGTATACTGCTCTTCCACGGGCAAATAAAAGCTCAGACACTTAGCTATCCTGCTACCGATGTTATTGCTGGGGAAATTGTTTAATGACAGTGATCATGAAATATGGTCAGTGATAGATGTACAATCTAGAAATAAACACCAAACATACTTATCGCTATCTTATAATGTATGACAGCAACAGTACCAAAAGCACTTTTTTCCTATTTTTAATCAGACTGATTTGAATCAGTATACTCATCAGAAACAGGCAACTCTACTTACTAGGCTGATCTGTTTCGTTACAGACTTCAAGCACTATACCATAATTCTTTCAACTAAACTGAATTATACGACAACCAAGAATACTAAACTAAGCAAGTGTCATAGTTATTGTTTCATTTGCACAGGCATATTGCTTAAAGTAGTTAAATGGACATAATTAAGACGATAAAACAAAAACACGAAATATAGGCCAATTGAACTTACCGAACAGAAGACAAAGAATATATATATATTGCTTTCCGACTGAAAACAACAGGTAGTTGTTCATAAAAACATAGTTTATAGTACAATAAACCTTTCTACAGTAAAATCATGGACTGACAGTCTATCTGGAAACAATCAACTATGTGAATAAACTCACTATAACTTGAGATATCATCCCAGCATGCAATGGACGTGCAGTGTAACGCAGTCGAACGTGGCGAATAAAAATATAAAAAAAGATCAAAATTAGCTATATAATCTAGTTATTTAATTAAAAATACATTCTGAAATGTCAAAATCTGTGGTTACTTGAACGCACAGATGACCGGTACATTAAGTTTACATGGTTGCGTTGCGGATAAGATCACCCGAATACATATGCATAGTTAGTGAGACGACGACTTCCTTCAGGATTATTGACAAGTAACCACCAAACAAATACCACTTTGTTTTATTTAAAACAAAGAGAAGTTCTTGCTTTTCAACGATTAAACGAAAACAACAGCGACGAAAGGGACGTTTTGTTAAAAAGTATTTTATTTTGACCAAAGGTCGTAGCGGCGAATAAATCCTACAAACCTGTAGTCTTAATGAGGATACAAAGGTAAAGACACTCGGTCTACTATCCTTGTTAAACCATAACTAGGTACGCCAAACTACGGACCCTCAACCCAATTCAAACACTCATCGACAAATCGCATGCCACTCAATTATATCTCCGAACTCATTTTCTGACTTTTGGTAAGACTGGGCCCGGAATCTTTCGATTATAAGCGTGTTACGGTCAAATACGTTTTCAACTCCTGAATATCAGAGGCATCTTGAAAGATAAACCTCCACTCATAAGGATAGGATAATCAAGTCTGTCACTGCATACGTAATCATCAGTGAAAGTTCTTAGTGTTTTAAAAATTCATGGGAAACATCAGCTTCCAATAATTGATCTTTCGTTATGAAAGTTTTAAACTGCTTTTTAATTCTCACACCGGAAGTTTGAGGTCACAGGAAGCATCCATGTTGAAATTTTGATGGCAGATTTTAAGACCTCATTTAAACAATCTAACAAATGTCTGTTTTCTTCAGCCTTATTTTCGTATTTTCATAGTATTTGGAGCTCTTCGAAGGATTTTGCGTAGTTCTATAAAATCCCCGCTAAATAGAACTTTATGCGGTGTGGTCGCTTTCTTGTCAAGGTAGTTTCTTCTTTGTAGGCGCGTACTATGAGGCTACCACTAATTTCTAATGTCGACTTGCTTTAGTTTTGACATACTCTTCTTGCTTTGGGTTTTAATGACTGCTGAGTACGTGTAGGGTTTATATTTATTTGTTACGGGTCATATAAATGACTACTTACGCATTATCCGTGGAAATAAAAGTTTATTGGGCCTTCTGTTCCTTTAGTTAACAATAATATTAAATTTTCAATAAAGTTAGCAGTGATAATAAACAATCTTCGTTTTTAGATACACGATTATGTTTTTGATTCTCAACATAGTTCTTCACAGTTTACTTTTTTTGCTTCTAGATGTTTCGGCTAGGTCCTTTGTCCACTTATGGAATATTAAATGTATGCACAAATATTATAAATAATCCAGATTTAATTGGCATAAAGCGAACTTGGCACTTTAAGGTAGTAAGGTGTTCACTCTAGGCATAATGTATCTCTTCAAAAATGTATACATGTAGTAAGTTGTGTAGAACAAAATGAATTCAGCAAAATCTCGTCACAGCAGTTTCAACCAGTGTGTATTACGGCTTTGATTGCATAATATCGATGATTAAACATAAAACAACATTATTTACACATTCGTTTATTTAAAGGATCCTAGGAACTGACTAATAACTACAGTTAAAGTATGCGATTTCTTGTAGTCCAAATATTGTTTTTAGCATTTGTAAGGAAGGAAAATAACATAAAATTGCGGAGGTATGATTTATAACGTAGTACGCGGTCATGCATGCAATATCGAAGCCTCATTTCTCTAAAGCTAATTTCTGATCACATTCATAAAGAATTTTTATTCATCTGTAAAGGTCCGGTCAGCTTGTTTTCTGTCTTCTTGTCCGTACATTCAGTTTAAATGGTAGGACTCTTAAAACATTTTTATAAACTACGCACCGGTGCTTTAAATTATACTTTGGTCATTGCATTTATTATCTTTCTAAGAAATCTCTAGTAATATTCTCTTAACTATTATGAGTATGCCACGATAAACCATATGCGTCCGAATTGTTCAAGTTTTCTGTAAGTAGCCGAATCTTCTTAGCATAAAGTAAGTTAACGTCATTGCATCTTTCTTTAAATGTACTGTCTTTCGTACACGTACAAGTAATGACTGACTTTCGAACTTATGTAAAGCGTATGTTAGGAATAAAGTTATAAAAAAGTTATAAATCTTAAAATGCCTCCTTTTTAGTGACAAAGAAGTCCGAACTATCTCAGTAGGATCTTCAATTTATCTTTATTATGTATTATTGTCTTGTTCTAAGTGAATAAGTTGTTTTGTTTTTATATAGGGCATTAAGGTCGCTTAGGTATGTATTCTCTCTCGTTCATATCTACCCTCAATAAATTGACATACGTTACCTCGGATAGTCATTAAATCTGAAACCCACATGTAATGATCCTCTATCTTTATTTATTTATTATTTCACTAGTATGACCTCAAACAATTCGAAACGACCCATACTTCCGAAAACATATTCGACTCTATCTGTTGTTAATCACAAGAAGTCTACTCCAGGAGTTGATTCGGTAATTCAATTTACAATTTAGTTTTATACTATATAATGTTCAAATGTTCATAGTTTTTTTTAAAGCTAACTAAGATTTAAGTAACCTGAATTTAATGTAACTCTTTAAAACTTGTGGTCAGTTGAAATCTAGGGTACACGTCTCATCCTTTTCATTGTGCCATGAAAGTCTACCAATACTTGTGTTTGCATACCAATAGATACTTGAATATCGTACTCTTATTGTAAAGTGCTTGTGATAATAACTCCTCATTTCCTAGATATTAGCTATCGTTAACTTTTTAAGTTTATCAGATTAAATTAGTTTGGTATTCGTGTGTAGATTTTTCGTTTATCAACATCAAGTAACTCAGAGACATCAGTTTATGGATTTTATCACTTTTTTGATACAATCTACATCGATGTGTTGTAATTTTTTGAGTGATTTCCAAGTTATTTATTTATAACTGGACTTAGTCTCATTTGGTTTGTGGTAGAATCAAGTCGTGTTCATTTAAGATTCATACGTCCCATTGTATTCACTACATTCTTTGGAACATCTATTGTTGAGAATTTCGAGCACCCAATAATTATTTTGTTAGGCTTTTCTATAAATCACAAAAGTTAATGATTTCTGGTGGCTAGTTGCAAGTCGACCTTAGTGATTGGGAAACCAGACATATATTGACCAAATACGATAGATTAGTACAAGACGTTTTAATCAATATTACTTTCACGTTATCTAACTAGTTCGCTATCCTTGATAATTCTTCCGAATGTTTTAGGATCTGGACACTTATCAATTTGATGTTATCCGAACAATATCATCAATCCTTATACTGTTGATATAATTTGAATTTGATTATGCCAAAGTTAGATTCATAAGTCTAGGAAGAATGAACGTATTGCAGACGTTGTCTGTACATTTCTCCACCATTGATATGGATTTCCACATTTTATTGTTTCCGCAAGTATCACGTGGTTCCAAACAGTGAATTCTAACTATCAGAATGGATTTAGAGTTTTGATATCACTTTCACGAATTTGTGCTAGCATAAAACATGTTTTCTGTCTTAGGTAACATCTTGTACTATCTTTTTTTTCAAAGACTCCATTAACAAGCGCACCGTCGTCTTCATCGTCATCATTGTCTTCATTTAGAGCAATTGCCCCAAAATCAAATCAGGATCACACAGTGATTATCACTCCTGAAGTGGTCAAACGAAATGAGTCTAGTGAAGATGTTGTTCACTATTGTGATATTGAATCAAGTAGTCAGGATTTCAACCCTCTTAGAAACTATCGTTCAATATATGCTAATAACGTCGTTCCTCGTAGTTATTTGAGAGTTACGCACCAACGGGTTCTTTTACCGTCTCATACAATTCCTCGAACTCCTATTAACTCTGATACGCTTCCATCCGGACCATCTACTTCTGGCTTTAATGTTAATAAGAAAGGGAGTCTACGTCCAGTGGTTAAGTTTCTACTTCGTATAGGTAAGTTGTATATTGAGACGATTCCATAGAGTTGATTTGTAGCACCATTTAACATTTTGAGTGTGTTTAATATCAGAATTTAATCAATACAACTGGATATTTAGATACATATTCAGATAATAAAAATTCAGCTATGTCTATTAAAAGGGCTAAATATACCAATCGAATTGGGATTGGGGTTAAGATTGTAATATAATAAGTGGAATTATTGTACTTAGACCACTGAACCTCAGGTTCATTAGTTTTGTAGTTATGGATTAATTTTTCTGAATATTCTGTAACAATAAAGTTACAAGATTTTACTTATTTCAAAAATTTGATTACTTCAAACCTGGTAGATGTCGAGACCTACTCTGACGACAACCATTTTAACTTTTTTTTATTTAACTTGTTTTTTGCTTTGATTTCATTCCCTCTTCATTTATGTTAAGCGCTGTACAGTCATAAATTAGTAGTCTCAGTAGTAGTTGGCCCTTGATCATCAGCTGTGAATTCGAATTTATTCCCTGCTTATTATCACCTTCAGATTCAAGTAAACTTATAAGGCATGATACATTATATATGTATGTGTATGGCTATCGGGTGATTGTAGGAACTTGTATCTTTTTTGATTAGGTTAGGTATTTTCACTTTGTAGATACATTGCGGATATTCTCATAATTGACCTCTATAATAACGTGGTGTTGCCTATTATCACCAGACTTTTCTCTGAACACTTCTCCCTGAATACAATTAACGATCGATATTATTCCTGAATAAATCTTCATCAAACTTTAATATGTAGGGGTATTTGTCTTCATATATGAGATATTAAACCAATGGATGGCATACCAAGCTTGCAAACAAATAACTTAACCAACGAGTTAACGAGCACTTGTCGTTCCATCCCATTTTGTCGATACTGGTCATGTAGTAGATAAAACCAAAGTATCTAGTAATTATGAGTGAGTTGAAACTACCCACCCTTTCATTTTTAAAGCGGCCAATATTTCATATTGACCGAAACTACTCCCGATTTTAATGTTTTTTGCCTGCCTAATTATTTATTGCTCATTTTCAGGTTCAGCACTTGTGCGTTCACAGTATGAGCCAGCGGTTGGTAAAGAAGTAACTCCCCACCAGTTATTATTGAGTAATCGACGTAAACGCAGACGTGTTGATGAGGAACCAACTCGGTTATCTACGGATAAAATCAATATAGAAACTATCAACATTTCTCATTTAGAATGGAAACCAAAAACGCGTCATCCACGTTGGGAAGACATATGGAATTATTGTCATCGTTGTCATTGTCCCTATGTTCCTACATCTGCTTTAGAATTATTACGACACCTAGAACGAGGTCACCAGAAACTAGTTAATGTTAATTCACTAGTGATACCTAAAAAAACACGGCTTGAAAAAGTAGATTGTAATGAATGCATGCTTAATGCAGCAGAATTATTGGGCAATAAACTGATAAGCCGATTTTATATCCCACTCACTGTAAATATCTTCGATTCCTCTTCAAATATATCACCATATACATGTTTTGTCTGTGGACAAGTGAATAAGTCTCAACGTTTACTAGAAAATCATTTCCAACGGTTAGTACAATGTTTTCTTTTTATTTTACAGTTGCTTCGTTGCATCGTCTCTACCATACAGTGGTAGTATCAATGATAGTAAACTGAATATTTATTCATATAGAATTAAATCACTTTTAGATTATTGTGTTACTTTGATATACCCCTTTTATCTACATAGGATATAGGCGCTTTTGAACAGAGACACCTTTATACTATATGCAGTAGATGAATTGTTAAGATCTTTGTATACAAGTAGGCTACTCTTAGTGCTTAGTATTCTGCGGACACTTCGCCTCACTTGACTGGTCCCCAAAATCAGAACACGGTTTGGACAAGTACGTATTTATATTCCAAATAAATCAACTTGAATTGGAGTGAATTCCAGTAAGAAACACGTTATCATGTTTATAATTTTACACGAGAAGATCCTAGAGTCTTCTGCAATAATACGCTAATTGGCTGAGAATAGGCCAAGCACCGTGCCCTAAAACAATTTTTAATGTATAATCTGCTAACATAAATCAAGTAGTACCATATATGTTAAAAATAAGGTAGATTATGCTTAGTATAAGATGCTTACCTGTTTAATTTAGTTTAAATGTTGTTATGAATACCAATTTTGTTCGAATACAAGTGTATTCAACTGGTTGGTTTTGAGTAGTATGAAACACTAACTGTTTTTACCAACCATTATTTATTACTCAGTATTTTAGTTTATTTAGAAGTTGTTTTACTTCACGTTATTGCAGTGTGACTAGCCTCGGGGGTCTCAAATTGATAGGTAGTTGAAATAGCCTTTAAGAAATTAGTTTCGGGACAATTAACTGTTAATATATACAATTAGTATTTACTTATTATTCAATGGTGAGTTTATAGTCTCATTATAGTTTCATTGTAATATGAGTTACATGTACGTTTTATAATTTTGTTCTTAACCCTAAGGGGTTTCGATACAAAAGAACCCCAACTCAGTTCACCACATAGTGTGAATTGACAACACCGAAGAAGTAGAATACAGAGTAAGAGTCATGTCCATCAATAGAGTACAGTCAAGCGAAACAACCAAAATATATTTCGTTATTTTAAAATATGCGTTTCAAATTTTTCGATTATCCAATGAGTAACTCCAACAGGATCAGGATTGCTTTTATTTTAAACTGTGTCTGATAGCACTTTAATTCACGGAGTTGTGTAATATTCACTGCCCTACTCTAGGAGTGGTGACGGACCAAAGTGTCCTACATAGTTACCTTTCATCCTACTGGGCCTTGGCGGTCTCTCATCATTTTGTACGCAATATCAGGTATAAACGCTACGGGAAGGAAATTCGTAGGATATGTCTATGCCGCTTTGTCTGGTATTCTAAAATTGTGGCACTAGTCAGTTATAATCAACATCGATCTCAGCATAGTTACTCGTTAATCTTAGTTCCCATACCATATTAGTACAATGAGATGAAGTTAACAAGATAGATGGTAAAGAAGTCAAAACAACATCTGGGTTTTTGTAACCGATCCTGAGTTGTTACCCAAATTCTCCAGCTACTAATCCTGATTATCGTGTGGACTTCAACTAGGTATTCTGTAGATACGAACATGGCTCAGACCAACAGTAACTTCGTGGACTGATTCCAGGTTTTGGTTCGGCCGTACCTAGTTTCCAACTCACTCGTACATCAGATAACACTTCCCGTCTATGTTGTCAGTGGTTAGTGTTATATAACACATTTTCCGTTGGTAAAGACTCGCTACCTTATCAACCGGATTTCCGTATTTCCACAGCACCCTATGCATAAATACAACATTACTCGGTTGTTTTATCATACGCAGGCAATGATTCAAATACATCTATTACTGAATACTTAAAGTCTACTCATGTCTTTTATTTTCACAAACCATGTTTCCCAGCCATAGATTAGTGCAGAACAGGCTTCTCAGTACAACTCCTCTTTAGTTGGGGTAAGGAAGTCCCGCTTACGCCACAAGTGTCGAGATTTTGTCAGACACCTACCCACTAGAACTAACGTGCTTCTTAAGTTATATAGTTTTGCTGACGCAGGTTTCTATGGACCACTCGTAAATGAATAATGTACCCAGTTCTTGCTTGTTTATTTTAGTATATCTGTCTGCCTTCATTCCACTCTTTCTATTTCTACTTACCGGTATATATATTTTATTGTTAAGTAGCTTTACTCCAAGATATTGACGATGGTAGATTGTAGAAAGTCTATACAATTGGAAAGGTTATTTACCCAATTGTTTAATCTTGATGGATATTGATTTCAAATGGTGTAATTTTATCTATAACCAGGTTGTCGATGTGTAACTTTCAACGCCTTTGGTAGATTTACGTCTGATCTGCAGGTAGTTTGTGAGCTGGAGGAGTATACAGAGCTGTGTATGTAAAGAAATCTGGAGAACACGAGGAAAAGTGAACCGACAACCCACTAAACACTTATGATACACTTGCATTTAATGGTGAAAGCAATCTACAACAATTAGCAAATTCACGTCAGTGAAGTTAAAACTATCTGGAAATCGAAACTAGAAGTTGGTAGAATAATATCTTAAATGTTTTCTCAACTAAACCTGAAAGCATCTACAATCCAATTATTTGATGTATAGCTTAAAGTGTACATAGAATGTAGTAGTTGAATGAATACAATGAACTTGGTACAATATAAAAGAGAATAATTGTAAGTATTGAAATCATTGTTTTCTTTTATTTATTTAAAAAATAATTATAATTGCAGCGTGCATCCACAATTAACCCCTGGTCGTTTAGAAAAACCAACAGTTATCTTATGTTCTATATGTGGCTTCCCTACACAGACTAATTTGATTAGACATTCTTCTCATCATTTGCACTCCGATGTTTCAATACATGTATCATGTAAAAGTAATCGGTCAATACATAATAGTGCTCCATGGTCAGGATGTGACGCCCACGCACTAGCCTGTCTTATGCTTTATCCTACTATGTATGCTCGATTCGGTTTACCTTTTCATGTTGCTCATTTTCTCTATGCATTAATTCAACGTATGTTAATGGCTCGAATAAATCAATTCGGTGGTTGGAGTGTTCAGTCTTATACTTTAAGATGTTGTGCAGCAATATCAGCTATTTATGGTGAACTTGTTGATCTAGATCAAAGTAAACCACTGATTCAATCAAGAATGAGGATTTTAGAACACAATAACAGCTTAAAATCTGTATTCTCAAAAGCATCGATTCCTTCGTAAGTTTTTTGTTTAATACATTTTAAAACTGTTTATTATATTTGTATGCTTTAATTTAATAGAGTTTGGTGATTCTCATATATTATAGGTTAGTGACAATTTAGACAAGATACCGTCTGTTAATATAGGGATATTTTATAAATTGCATAATCTCAGTTTTAATCACGAACTGATTTCAGTTAAACCGCCATTAAAAACCTGGAAGCACTGGCTAACCGTTTCGTTTTAGTATGAGACTCCTCGGCAATGTGGACATACGACTTTACATCAGTAAGGTTAGGCGTTCGCGTGAGATTGAATGTCCTGGGTTCGATTTACGGGTTCTGAGTCATGGATGCTCACTGCTATGAAGCCGCATACTAGGATGGGACGGTCGTCCAGTGCTTCCAGGTTTCCAATGATCAGTTTGTGATTAGAACTGTGAAAATATACAATTTTGTCGTGTATTTTTTTGTTGGGAAAATATACGAATTTAGTTCGTTAAATAATTGTTTAACTTAGTACGTACCGAGAGTATTTAATGATTTTCCTTGGTTTTTCTTCACTCAGTCCCTTACGCATTGAAATCGAATTTTTTCCGAAACTAGTCACCTCGTGCCAGTTGGCACTTCCCAATAATTCGTACCTGCAATTTGAAGGAATTAACCCTGTACGCTTCAAATCCGCGTCACCCAGCTATGAAGTTAGTTTTAACCACTGAGCTATTCCGATCACAAATGACTTCCTAGAAAGTTGAAATATTTACAGTTGACTAGTTACTACTCTCGTCAATCAATCGGAAGTTCCCTGTTATTCAAAAATTTCATGTACTATATTTTCATCCAAATAAAAGCATCCAAGTTTGAATTCAGTGTTAATTATATATTTACATTAAAGTAAATAAAAATAGTCATAATAACTAAGAAATAGCAATTTATTTTATTTTGTTTGGCACATTTTAGTACAACTGGGCACTAAAAGGGGTAATTTCTACCACACAAATAAAGGAATGAGATTGTGAGAAAATATTGGAGGAGAGGGGTTGTACGATAGAATAGAAGGTGGACAGGAATAGGATGACATTCGTGTAATATGTTTAATTTTTGCAATAGAGTCGATGTAACAATACTATTGGTAAAGGTGTCTAAAGGGGACTGTTGAATTATATTCGTATATGGAGTTGTGTTTTTGGGTTTTTAATAACCATAAGAAGCTGTCGTACTCTCTTATTTAAAATAAAACCAGAGGATAGACCAATATACAATATTCTGTTGGTAAGACAAAGAGGCAAATGAATACTGTGATGCTCTGTACGGATAGGAAAAATGGTTTGATCATCATTGGCGAAAGTATAAAAATCAATCTAAAAAAATAAAAAAAATAAAACACGAAGTTTGTAGCTTAAAGTCAAGTACATGGACTTGCGTTTGGTTGCTAAGTTACATTAAATTGAGAAAATGACTGGTTGGTAGTAGAAAATCTACAGAGAAATAAGGGCTACTCATGAGTAACATAGATGAAATTGCATAAATATTATTTTCAAGCTTTTATGCTGTCTTATCGTCTAGTTTTTTCTCGGTATTGATATTCCCTAATTTGGGAGAACTCGTGTAAATATCTACATGGAGTTCTCGATTTTATTCAGCGTTTCTCGCTTCATTCGTCAGCAACAGTTAGTAACTCAAATTTATACTCGTCATTATCATTTGTCGCCATAATTTCCTCTTTGTTTCTCTTGTTACAAGATCCTGTAATCTAATTAATGTTAGTTTATGAAATGAAGATATGAAAATATCTGTTGCGTTTCTATTTTTGAAGTGAATGGTTTGAAACGACTTTGAGATTATCATAATTACATAATATTACACAGCTGTGAGGGGTGTCATAGTTGTTGAAGCTAGGAAATATGAGCACACGATATTCATATTACGAATAATGTTTTTAAGTTGTTCTTCACGTTTGATAAAATCTCTAAATAGTTTTTAACTCGCGTATAAAGTCCTAGTTAAGAGAGGTAAATCATTTGATAAGATTGTTAACGAACACAAATTAAGATAATTAATATTCATGTTACGTCATTAAATTTAATTGGTATTGTGAACTTCATTATTAACATATTGTGTGAAAACCCTTGTACAGTCATTTCTAGTGAAAGTATTAGTTCTGTAATAAGCAAGTTTCCGTTCTTGTTTTACCTTCAGAGTATTTATATAATATTTATAGTTGTTAAGATATCTTGGAGTTGGTAGCCTCATTCTCATCTCTAAAGTCATAAATTCGTCATTACTACTATAGTAGTAGAAGTGGCTTACAATTGATACATATGCTTATATTGTTTTGCAGAAATGATTTGTGACCCAAGATTGTTTAATAAGGGATATTTAGGAAATAATTACAAGAGTCGTGCTTGTTTACACTCATGGTCAGGTTGATTTAAAATGAAATGTGACATGTAAAGGACATATATACATGAATGAATTGTTTGAAAAGTCATGGTTTCTATTTTTTGTTGTTGAAAGAACATTTGTCGAAAGGATGTGAAGCAGCAGTTGAGAACCAGTATTTTCTCAGTATGTGAACTGGAATATCATTTATTATAGTAAATAATGTGGCTAATAGCGATCGTACTATCGTTACACGGTAATTATAACCATCTAAAATACGAGAAAAGAAGGCGAAAGAACAGAGAATGGAATAACAACAGCAAAAACAACTATAATCTCTCTCTCTCCCTTTCCATATATATATACTAGAAGTACTTTAGATAGTTTGTCATTTTATATATGTATATGGTTTATTTCGGATGACGCTTAACATAGAATTCATTGATTTTATTAGTTTTTTTAAACACTATACAACCAATTTATTTTTTTGTTATATTCCATCGAGTAAAGAAATTGTATTTCTGATGTTTTGCGATTTAAGGTAAACCAATTCAACTGACCTAATCAAATTAACACGAGTTTAAATAGTACAAAGGAAACAATGTAGAATATTTCTAGTACAATCAAAATCATAATGGGTCTGAATATCCCAATATCAAATTATTCTTGGTCAAGGTGGATTTATATGACCTTTCACTGTATTAATTTGTGTATCAGAAGGTAGATATGAAAAATGTATGCATTTGTGAAATGAAGTATTGCGGTTGAAACTGAGCATGTTATATGTGTAGACTATGTGTATAGAAGTAGATGGAATTTTATCTTTTATTCTGACTAAAGCGTTTCTTAGTGTTAGTCGTCTTACAGAAGGCTTTGGTTTTGTAAGTTTTCAAGATCCGTTGTAAATCTGTCGTACCTACATGACAAAGTAAAACCACAGTACCAATCCAAGATCTTTCATTAGAATTATTATTTATATAAGGATAATTTTGTTTTAATATGTTTTAATAATATTCTTAGGCAAATTATCAAACCATAGAATGCTTATTGTATCATTTTTTCATTAAGCATGTATTCTGAAGTAATGATATTGGTTGCTCTCCTGATTTGTTTATCCAAACAATCATATATGACTTTATTTACTTTCCACACAATCTACATACACAACATACTCAATTTCAACCGCAATACTTCGTTTCACAAATGCATACATTTTTCATATCTACCTTCTGATACACAAATTAATACAGTGACAGGTCATATAAATCCACCTTGACCAAGAATAATTTGATATTGGGATATTCAGACCCATTATGATTTTGATTGTACTAGAAATATTCTACATTGTTTCCTTTGTACTATTTAAACTCGTGTTAATTTGATTAGGTCAGTTGAATTGGTTTACCTTAAATCGCAAAACATCAGAAATACAATTTCTTTACTCGATGGAATATAACAAAAAGTATATTGGTTCTTTCATTCAACCATTAAAATGTTGGTTCTGTGTATATCTCTTTTATAGAACTGTTTCTTTTTACAATTCAACTCCCGCGCAAATAAGGACATGCAATTCTAAAAGTGCTATACCTATTTCCCTATCAACTGTATTAGTTTCATCGTCCTTACCGATTCAGCCATGTTTTACTTCATCATCGTCTAGTGCAAATCTAACTAATATATCATCAGTGTGTATTTTACCTAATTCGTCTCCCATTACTTCCGTTTCTGATTTGGTATCAAAATCTGTGACAGGCTCCCTATTACCATCTATTTTAGTCAGTCAACCTACTACAACTCCATCTGTTTCAGTGAAACATACTTTGTCTTTTGAACCAATGCCTCCTGTTTGTGTTACAATCAGTAAACAGTCTAACCTTTTTATGCATGGAAATACACAAATCCCGGCTACAACATCATCATGGTCTGTTGTATCGTCATCAAATCCAACTCTTTTATCTTTCCTTTCTTCCAACCAATCGAAAATTCCTATTCAACCAAAACCTGTCATACCAGTTTCTGTTGGTTTAGCATCTGATAATTTATCACAACAACAATCTTCACTTACTAACAATGGAGATAATACTATTCGTGTTCAGGTGGGACCTAGTGGTCAAATTAGGCGATGCCTGGGAAGTCAACCGCGTAGTTTACCTCGTGTTTCGCCAATGTTAGAAGTTCCGTGTGAACTGTGCCCTTCTAATATTCCAACGGAAACAATTGTTCAAAGTTTTCACGTTATGTCTCGTCATAGAGTAAGTATTAAGCTGCAAAGCACAGTATAAAATATTTCAACAGGTTCCTCTTATTCTTCATATATATATATGTACACAATAAATAATTCTATATAAAATTAAGTGAATTTTTCATAAGAAATAAAAAAGATTTTTACATTAATGAGTAACATGGATGCAATATTTTCTGCTGCTGCTGCTGCTGCTGCTGCGAGTACCTGTTACTACTTCTACTATTTTAGTAATTTTCTAGATAGTTTTATATCATCGTGCTAATTTGTTTTGATATGCTGCAGCAACTTGAATTTATACATGTACTTGGTGGCCAGGTTCTACAGTTGCTTATGACTAACTGACTAGACGATAGGTTTTTGGTTATTTTACCTCTGTAAAAATTTATTGTAACATTTTTTTATTTATTAAATATGGTAAGAAATCTGCCAACCACATAGTTTAATCAGTACAACTCTGAAATGAAGGCGTATCCAGATGAAGAGTTCCAAATAGAATGAAACATTCACTCTACATTACACTGATAGTCACATTTCAGTTTTTCTAATCAATACACTATACCGATTTCGTAATTGTTCATGTTCTAGACTGAAAAATCCAACTAATTTTTGTGTTGTACAGTATATTGATGCTCCGACTGAGATAAATGTTTCAGTTGCTAACTCGATGATAATAAGTTGGATAACTAGATTTGGATAGTGATTTTTTTCTTTCTCGAAGTTATCATCTTAGGTTATGTGAAAAATGTCTTAGTGTTCCTTTGTACCAAGTGTCACTTAAGTTATGGTAAAATACATGTATTACTAAATAGTTTTTTGTCCTGCTAATGTGAATTATATACTCTGCACTCGCTAGTTACATCATATTTAGGATATGTAATAATCCATTATATAATATACTAATGATAGCTTAGTCGTTTTCTCAAGATTCTTCGAGTCAATTAATATTTATTAGTTAAGAGCTAATATGTATTTTCTTTAATTAATTAAGTGGTGGTTTGTAATATCTTGCTATTTAGCACTTTATATCAGTCCTCAGAACTGTATATGAATCACTTTAAAATTAACTTGTGTTCCGTCAGTGGTCTACATTGTTCTCCAGTGTTATGATGAACAAAACTACTATTAAAATCAACGAATAAATGTTGGTCTAATTGTGCTTTTTAAACCGTTACAGGACATTCACATGTAATGGATGGACGACTCATGGATAAGCCAAATGCATCAATTTTATTTACTCGATAGTTTCATCAGATGTAAAAATTAATTTGATGATATGCACTTATGATATATACTTAAGATCATTATTGTTCTCCAGTAGGTTTTTATATATCTTGCTGATATATAGACATCAGAGTAGATCCAGACTTTAGAAGTCTTTATGTTTACAAGTACAAAATTTACTTTATATATTCTTTCATATTAGGGTATTATAAAAACTTAGTATTATTATCACTTAATGAGATTGTGTCGTCTGCATTCTTCAAATTGATTTGAAGTCCTTTGAGTAGAAAAAAACTGGTTCGCAAAAATAGCATTATCTTTATTGGGGTATCTGTGGTAAGTGTTCAACAAAGTGATTGCAGTGGACAGATCATTAGTCATTCTTACTTTTTATTAAATAGCAATTACATACTACTTATGTCTGTCAACATACTTGGCATACACCACACTACTATTGGAACAAACTTGTTGAACAATGCCTTCAAGATGACTGGCACTACAAAAAGACCTGATTAGTATATAGCTGAATGATCATTTTTCAATATGGTATGTGTATCCCTCAAGTTGATACTTATAGTTAGTTAGTTTGAAGATGACCATCAGAAATATTGCCCCAATATGATTGTTTGTGATTAGTATTTAGCAAAAAGTTGTGATTACTAGTGGGTTATTTTTATTTAAATTCATTAATGACTGATTCGGTATTCTAAATCATAGCGATCCATTTTCTTTGTCACATTTTATATATATTTTTTTTATTTCTTACTGACTATCACTAAATTGGTCAATACTTATTCACATTGTTTAATTATTAGTTAAATTAATTGTTATATGATTCATTTTCATGTATATTCTGTGACGACGAATACTCAGGTTAAAGGTTTACGACATATCCCAACGATTCCTTGTCGTTTATGTGGTCAATTATTTTGGACAAAGGCTGGCGTAATCCGACACCAACATGTTAGTTGTGCATTTTGCGATGAAAAAGCACTGTGTAATTCAACTTATTATCTACATGAAATTATTAAGCATCCTGTAAGTTGAAGTTCCATTGAATCGTTTATTGTGTTTCCTTTTCTATTTACTCACCTTTTTGTTATACAATTCTCTATAGATATTTCAAGATATCAATGGTGTTTAAAGATTATGATAGCTATGTTTAGTGATTATCTTGCTGTCAATCTTAGTAAAAAGCGTGAAGCCTCATTTATGGCTCAAAACAATCGAAAATGAACTACTTTTACGTTTTGGTTTTGGCTATTTTATAAGTTTTATCCAAATACCCAACATAGAGAGTGTTATGGGATTAGCAATGTCTGGTCATGGCCATGCCAAGGCGACTTTAAGCTGCCTAGTTTTTGTTAATAAATGTAAACCTATTTTCTGTAACAACAATCACAATAATATTTTTGGAATTCATATTTTCGCACAAACTCCATTGTTTTCTTTTAGTTTAACAATTTTCATGTCCTATGTCATGCTTTGTTACTATATATAGAGGGGTATCCCTTCTCGATTTTGACTTCTGTTCAACATGTAAACCTCTTCTGATGTCCCATTTTCTCTATCTCTTATTGGGGCGTGGATTATTAACTCTGAACTGTTGTTGTGTGTCGATGACCGTACTACCAAGTTTTTATTAGAAAAAAGAATTCTTGATATTACGTAATTGAAAATTACCGTCTGGCCAATCGAAGAAACATCGCTAGTATTTGTCACGTAATAAACTGAAAAATGGATCGAGATTATGTTTTTCTGTCTCGGTATACTGCTTTTACAAATGATTGGAAACTAATGTGAAATTACCCAATTGAAGAGTATATTCATAACTATGAAGCTCAGCGGTTGTCTAATTGTTAAAGCGTTCGACTTTCAGCTACTTAATCGTATATTGAAGCGCCTTCCCACCTACTTTGACTTGGGCAACCTGCTAGTATCACCAGCCCTCACACTTAAAGTGTTTCTCGAAGTCAAGTTCACGGGTTTATGTACCTGGTCAATTGTAAAGCTAAGTTGAGCTACGACTTGTTTTACATTTGGGTTCAGTAGGATACAGTTTTCAAAGTTGGATTATAAGTACGATTGTTTGATTGGTAAATATTTAAATACCATCGTTTTGTTAGGTGTTTACTTGTTTGTTGGAGTTACTGAATTTCACTTTTTATTTCGTTTGTTTTCACAGAAAATCTTATAGTTTTGTATGGATATGTGTTTACATAATTCATATTATTTATCTGATATTTATTATTATTATTATTATTATTATTATTATATTCTTTTGGTACTTTAGCAACACTTCGCCTATCGGTTGAATAAAGATGCGTATAATTGTCCACAGTGTTGTCGTGTGTTCTCGGATATGATTTCATTTATAACTCATTTACAAACTGTACACTTTTTCACTGTACCAGATGATATAAATAATCATATATGCAAATATGGTTCTACAAGGAATAATCAAATAAATTTTAATAATTTAACAATGAGTTCGAAATTAATTAATCTTTCTACATTATATTCATCATTATCCATGTCAACAATATCTGTATCATATTCATTACCGGATAATATTGCTGTATCTATAAAGCCCGAAGAAATACCATGTTGGAAATGTTCAGTTTGTAATGCACATTTTATTACCATCAATCATTTAGATTTACATATGGCTCAAGTTAGTTTTTATTTATTTATTTGTTTTATTTATTGGGTTTGTAAATTTTTGTGTTGTAGATCCTTAATTATATCAACTGATGTGATTGAAACGTCTGTTCTTTATGATCACTCACTGCCTACCTCAACGTTCGATGTTTAGTGCTTTAGCGTGCTAAGTTGGAAGAAAGCTAAGATATAACAAATCAAGACTTGGTTTTAATCCATCAAGTCATTGACTGTTGGACTGAGCCATGATGTTAGATGAAAACAATTTGGCTGGGGTCTGTTAATAATCACCCCCTATGGCACATATGCATTTTTTCTTTGTTTTCCCTTTGTTGATGAGTCTCAAAGTCATCTTGTGCTTATTTATTTCACAAATCAGTCTTCTCTTCTACAACCATAATATCTATGTCGAATCGTTTTTTACTACTATTGATACTATTGCTTTTTCAGTCGCCCTACTATTTGTTTTGATAGTTTCATCTAACTATGTTTATATGGTGTTACAACTTAAACCAATGTACTAAGTTCTATATTACTTACGACTGACTGATATACATTCCACTATATATTAATCACAAGTTAGTCCACTTCTATAACATCGTCTATTTCTTATGTGTTGACTGTATTAACTGGTAGATTAAATCTGATAGATAGTAAGTGCTCATAACTAAGTTTTTTAAACCTTCTAGGACTTGTGCTGTGATCAAGATATTCAAACGTCTGTCAAACAGAAATACATTGTTAGACTTTTATTTGTACACTTCTGGACTGATACTGATAAACCTAGAGACATACAACAAAGATTGATAATCATATCAGCAGGTTTCAATCATCCATAAAAGTCACAGAGTGTTTTTTTGTCTGTTTTCGTGTAAGATAAAGTCTAATTTTGAGATGGTGAAGATTTTTAACTCAATCAGATGACTTTGGTGGAGTTTCGTTTTCTGAGCTGGATGGTTTGGTCGTGGAGCTCTCATCGTTCTTCTGAACGACATCAATATCAAGCAATCCAAAAAAATTATGGACAAATATTGGACCAAGAATCAAATCAATGGGAGATACAATCAAAATAAAGAAATAAACAGTGACAGGTTAAAGGTCAACAATAACCAATCAAGATCGAGGTCTACAGGACTAGCTGGGAGTCATATGTGGAGAAATTCGAAAACTTGACTCCTACTTAAAGTTGTTGCTGATGATGTCGTTCATCGGAACTATGAGAGCCCCACGACCAAACCATCCAGCTCGGCGAAGAAAACTCTACCAAAGTCTAATTTTATTTGTCGATATCTTTGAAATCATCATGGATGAAATATAGTTCAAAGTCAATTATATTATTGACTATATATCTACTTTTTCAGTTGAATTTTTGTCATTCAATAATTATTTTTTATGTATTTATATCGTTCCACTTACATTTTATCTTTTACTATTCTGTAACAAATCATAAGGTTCTACATTTCTCATTTTATTCTTTTTACTTTAACATGTGAATGTTTATGTGAAATAGTAAGAAAATCTGGATTTTATTTAAAAATTTTTCGTTTTACTGTCATATTTACTACACGACTTTCGTCTATATGTATTTGGCGCCCCCTTCTACTAGCGTTTACGTGTACAAATAAATAAATAAATAGTTCATATTTAATCCTCCGTTCCCCATAGCTCTATGTAATTAAATTGCAACTCAATTAGATTCCAATTCTGATCGTAACACAATTTAAATGTTTTGTGTTCTAATTTTTTTTGGTGATTGTTGCTAGTGTGAACTCAGTTTATCTAGTTTCTTGTTAATCAATGACGATTCCTGAAACTCAAAAAAATATAAGATAGTGGGCGAGGTGAGGACTCTCTGTTTTATCCACTCATATATTGTCATTGCAGATCGTCTTTTCACCCTCACACGAACCCACTCAATCTTCGGTAGTTTTAATACAGGACAGTTGAAAAAATTAGGCAGATACGATATATTTAGATTACGGACGGTTGCGTTGATATATTCATCAGTTTAATGCTGTTATACTAATATTATTATTACTTTTACTTAATATCAACACATGAATTGACGACTATTACAAACTATTATGGAACATTAATTTGGATATGGTTTCAGAAATGAAATATTAAGAAAAATCCATACGTCCAACATTTGCTATGAATACGAAAACATGTAATGAAATTAATTGTTAATGAAAGAAGACGCTAGGTTATTAAAAGGTTGAGAGTATAAATTAATTCATTCGCTTTTGATCTTCGGGAGTTTTAAAAATAACTGGGAAGAGAGGCTTCTGAAACTATTCATTCCACAGGGATGTGTTCTGTGAGTTGTATGATTTAGTTGTTATGTCTTCGTTGCCATCTAGTCAGCAACACTAGCAGTACATACTTGAAGAAGAAGTGAGGTATTATAATTTCTTTACAGTTTGTACTATTAACCCGGGATTTGATTTGCTATTGTCCATAGTTGCATAGCCATTGTTTACACATTTGTTCTGGTTGTATTCTCGTCTGGACCTGATCATTCTACTGAGTTGCCAGATCTTTGTAGTGCATTCAAAGTATCTGGCGCTAAAATAGACTCACATTATCTTTCCAATAGAGCGGTCACTCAGTGGTTGAAATGTTTGATTTTAGCTCACTAAATCCCAGGTAATTGATAGAAACCTTACAATATTATACCATGTCAGTCAGTGATTCTCTGTGTCTTTTTCTAAATTGGATAAAAAGGCATATGCTTAGTAGTGTTAACACCACTCAGATGAAATGAGTACCCAGAAAATTGAATTGAAACTGCCGCTTGGAAATATTGTCATTCTGAATGCTAACGGTTGGAACCTCGTGTCACGAATAGGAAATCCTATCCCTCTAAATATTCATGATCATACCTTTTCGAAATGAGATTTCAATGTATTTTAGTATAACTATATGATAAATGCTGTGATATAGAAATGCATTTTATAAATTGGTATTTTAGGCTAGTCATCAGTACTGGTGTCCTCTATGTCTATATGCATGTGAACGAGCAATTTCATTATGGAAACACTATTGTAGTAGTCATAACAAGGAATCGGAACTAAATCACATTTCTGCAAAAAATAAATTTTATCGAATTGTTAAACCGCAACCAATTGGTGCAACTAATATTTCTACTTCAATAACAACAACACCAACGACATTATCATCACCGTCATCATCCTTAAGTACAGTTACTGCAGCAAAAATTATTGCCAGTCCTTTAAAACGGGGTAGCCAACGCTGTGCTATTGGTCACTTATCCCAGGTTAGTTTTTTATGGCGTATTGTTACTTCCTACCGTTTACATAACTTAAAATTAATTATGCTGTCACCTGCCGATCGCTACTATTTCGAACCATTTCTGCTACTTTTAAGTTATCTATCCACCCCATGCAATCGAGCACTAGTTATACACTTCAATGTGGTATTCATTCGTCATCAATAAACCTATAATTGCTGGGAAAATTCGGCTGTAAATTCATCTGATAAAGAGTTAAATATTAAATATTTTAAACTGGTTCAATTTTGGGTTCGAATAATTAATTTTATCTCTACATTTTAATGATTTTACCTGAGTGATACCCTAAATTATCATAGTTTTTATCGATCCTAGATCTCTTTTTTTCTTTAAGCTGTATTCTTTTCATAAAACCCACTTTAATGTTATAAATGTCATCCTATTTTGTTGTTGCCGTTTCAGTACAGGAATTTAGAAAATCCTGTAGAATCAATTACTTTGTTGTTATCGAGTTTCTGTCTAAAATGATGCGATTTTTAGCATAGGGAGGAGCTTTAGCGATTATTGAAGTAACTGTGATAAATTTTACTTCGTTGATAGACATTCTGGAAAGTTCTTGTAAATCAATGGTTATTGGGAAAAATAATAAATATAAAGATTTTACCTAATTAAAAAATTTATTAAAGTCTACTACGAATCTATATGTCTGTAAGTCGAAGAAGAGTTGTAGATTTTTCTATATTCTCATAAAACATCCTCCTAAAAACGCTTTTAAGATTCAAAATGGTTTTTAGGAGTTCCTACATTGTTCCTGGTTCGTGTTTAAGATTAGTATTAAGAGTTTGGGTTAATTTACATGTGATTTACCATCTAAATAAAAAGACTTAAATATTTTTAACTTGTAAAGCTATAATTTTACTTTATGATGACTAAAGTAACTTTTGGTTCTAACTTTGAATGTTTTAAGAACAATTACAAAAATGTAAAACTACCGCTACCCTCATGTGATATAAGATAGAAGTTATTTGTTCTTAAATCTTTATATGAAGACTCGAAAGTTTACTCATTTCAGTGTTGGTTGTTTGAATCCTCCCATTTATTTTTAAAACTGCAATTGATCAGTCTCTTATTGGCATATGTGCATCCTGTACGGATCACCTCGATATTGCCTTCAGTCACTAGCATTATAAGCAGAAATGACCCACAAAGAGAGACCCACTACAAGCCACCATCATTTCTGCTTATAGGACTTAAAAGTTGTTTTTCGGTTTCGATTAGCTCGTTCCTATACCATAATTTTACATGTAAAATGAACCATTATAATTTG